CAAAGAAAATGTGAATAAACCTACAAAAATATAAATGTTTCCCCACCCGATCCTTTCTTTAGTCAGCTGAGAGCAGAACAATAATATTAATCGAAAGGTTTTCATTAAAAGACAAAGTTATCCCAATAATAAAGATGAGAAGGAGTAAAGGACCCATGGGAACCTGAAATTAATCACTGATAAATTAATTATCACATTAATTTAAACTAAATATGTCAAATATTATTTTCATGGAGTAGCAGAATGATCATTCAAGTGATAAGTTCACTCCTCGCCAAATGATATCAAGTGTTCTGACCAGCAAATAAAAGTGACGCTAAGTTAATGTGTAGCTCGTCTCTCTAGTCCTTCAGTCTTTCTAGTTAAGCTGGCTCGCTCAGTCTTGCAGGGCAGTGATAAATCTTTTTATGTCTGCTATACAATCATTCTGTTCCTATCCTGGTTATTCTTTATTTTGGCGTTCTGACATTTCTATATAATGAGAGCTCGAGTAGTGATTGTGAACGCTTTGGGGTCCTTAGGGACTAAGCAAAGCGCTGTACAAATACAGGCCATTTACCATTTACCAAAACAGCCACAACATTAAAACTACTGACATACACATAGCATTGATTATTTTACTACAAAGCAGGGTTTTATTGGAACACATTGTCAACTTAAAAATGTTTGCAAAATGAGAACTATTCAAAATGGCAAATAAAATCTGAAACTAATCTAAGGTGTTAATCTCAGACCCCATTATTTCTGGGATAAGGAGTGCATTCCAGTGCTTGGCATCCCAGCACATTCACAAATATCCAGTTCCTACACGCTGTGTGGCCCCTGGTTTTAATCTTGTGGCTGTAAGTAGTGATGCTGTGTTATGGTATTCTGGACGTTAACAGTAGACATGAGGCAGTGTGAGGCACAGTGAGATCCAGATTGTCTTTCATTTAGCAGAGGGAAACGCCAGATCAGTAACTTGACAGTCTTCATCACCAAGCTACTAGAAAGATTTCCATCGGATGGCAGACAGGATTGTGTGGACGAAGTAGAGAAGAGTGGCTACATATGAGAAAACCTGCAAAGACAGAGAACATCAGGAGGTCAGAAGGTCATCAACACCTTAAATGATCTTTGAACCACTGAAACTTAAAGCCTTAAAGAAATCCAAACCAACACAGTATCAGATTTTAAGCATTGTTAACAGCAACATATAACATTTCCTCCTGGTGTTACTGAAGCTAAATTGTTCATAATATCCATCTTTGGTTAGAAGTCATGTGTTGAGAGTAAATCTTGTATGATAGAGCTAAATGTTAAAGCAGATCTGCTGGTGCTGCTGCAATGCAATGAACTATTTGCCCTGGAGAAAGAGGTTTTAGAATAGTCTCCACTTCACCACCTTGAGTGCACTAAAAGTTTATTCTTAAGTAGTTTCATATTTTAAAAAATCGGCTGGCTTCAGTTTCAAAGCCGTTGTTGACAATGTGCCAAACATTCTCTTTTTTGTTGAGACTTAGCATCTAGATTAAAACCACTTTAGCCTAGCTTAGTGTAAAGACAAAAAACAAGTTAATTAACAAGAAATAATAGAATATAATGACTACAAAGACATAGAACATTAATGCAAATAGACACAAAACAATTACAAATGGATAGAAAACCACTAGCGACAAAAATGTCTACTAAGCGAGTCGATACTTACACAGCAGAAGTAAAGCAGGTGAGATTTCAAAGTTATTTTTAGTATTTTGGGATCATTTTACCAGGTAATGATA